AAAAACTGAGCAAAATTAATGCCCCAAATTAGAGAGTATTGGGGATACTGTCTGCCATAGAGGCAAGGTGCGGACAACAGTGTATATGTATATGAGGTGGGGGGGGGGGGGGGGGTTGATACTTGGGACACTGATGGTGGAAAATGTACACTGATGGAGGGATGGGTGTTTCATCATTGTATAGCTGAATCTCAAACATGAAAGCTTTTTAACTCAACCTCACAGTGATGAAATAAAAAAAAGTAATGTGGAGCTCATGCCCAATTCAATCAGCTTAATCAATGGCTGAACAAAGAGCAGTACTCCTACATTATTTTAAAAAGAAAGAGACAGAGAAAGAAAGAGAAGGAAGAAAGAGAAAGAAACGAAGGAAGGAAGGAAGAAAGAAAGAAAGAAAGAAAGAAAGAAAGAGAGAGGAGGAAGGAAGGAAGGAAGGAAGGAAGGAAGGAAGGAAGGAAGGAAGGAAGGAAGGAGGGAGGGGGGAGGGAGGGGGGAGGGAGGGGAGGGAGGAAGGAAGGAAGGAGAAAAGAAGAGAAGAGAAAAGAAGAGAAAAGGAAAGAAAAGAAGAGGGGGAGGGGGTAGAGGGTGGAAGGGTGAGGAAGGCAAGGTGAAACCTGACAGTCTATGTGAGAGGTAGACATGAGAAGGAACCAAAATGGAAAGATCTGAGGTAAGAACATTTCAGACAGGAAGAACAGAAATAGCAAGGTCTTCTAGAGGGGAAAATGCTTGGGGTTTCCCCGATTAGAGGGCCAGTGCAACAGAAATATCTTGAGCAAGAAGAGGGCCAGATCAGGGAGGACTGTCACGGCATTGGCAAGGAATGTCAGGCCAAAAGCAATCATCAAATGCATTTGAAAGAGTGCAAGAATATTATCTCATTTATATTTTGAAATGACTACTCTGATAGTTGTCCGACAACAAAATTAAATGTAAACAAAAAAAAAAAAAGAAATAGGAACCAGAGTGCTAGTACAGCCGGGAGGACACACTTGCAAGCAGCCAACTTAAGTTCAGTCGAAAGAACCTTGTATGATCCCCAGCTCACCAGGAGTAGTGCAGAGTCAGGAGAAAACCCTGAGCACCAATAGATGTGGCCCCTCCAAAAAAAAAAAAAGGAAACAGTATATGAAGTTGTGATACTCATCTTGGTAAGCAAGGACAGTGGCAGGGGCTAGTGCTGGCAGCAGCGATGGAAAGAGTTTGTTTCAGTTCACTTTCGTTTTAGAAGTAGAGTTGTTCAAACTTACTGATGAGTATAATACGGAAGTAGGCAACACACGTCTATATCAAAATGATCAGTGTCCTTTAATTCAGCAATAGGAACTTGCCTTAGGTGAACAAAACTAAAAACTGAGCTTCTATACGACCCAGTAATCCCACTTCTTGGCCTCTGCCCCAAGGGCACAAAAACTCTCTTCAGAAAAGAATATGCAATTCCAAGTTCACTGCAGCACTACTCACGTCAGCCAAAAGCTGGAAACAACCCAGGCGTCCAAGAAAACATGACTGGATAAAGAAACTATGGTGTATACACACACACACACACACACACACACACACACACACACACACACACACTACTCAGCTTCATGAAAAGACATAATCATGCAATTTGCTGCTGTTTGGATGGATCTGGAGATGATCATGCTAAGTGAAGTTAGTCCGAAGGAAAGGGAGAGACACAGTATGATCTCTCTCATATGCAGGATATAAAGAAAAGAGGGGAATAAGAAAGGCCCAGGTGGGGGTCACACCCACCAACTGGCCCCCTGGCGCCGTGTAATCCCATCAACGGCCAAGATTCAGAGACTGTAAAACCCAGCTCCCGGAAGAGAACAGCGCAGAGTCTCCTGCCCCCATGCCTGGCTGTCCTCGCCGGGGCCCCTTGGAGGGGAGCGGGTTGAGTTTTCCTCCCCGCCCCAACCAGGGCTCCAGCAGCCGAAGACCTCCAGGACCAGCCACCACCATGCTGAGACCACTCTCCGCACACATGTAGAGGGACAAAGCCACGCGGGTTCCGGGGCCGAGATCTCCAAGCCTACTCGGATTGGGGCTGAGCATCCTCCACCCAGATCCTCCAAATTCCAGTAGGCAGGGGTCACACCCACCACCTGGCCCCCTGGCGCCGTGTAATTCCATCAACGGCCAAGACTCAGAGACTATAAAACCCAGCTCCCAGACGACATCTTATCATCTCATTCCTACTTTGAACAAACTGGCAGGCTACCGAATGTAACCTGCCCACGCGGCAGAGTCTGGCAAACTCCCCGTGGCGTACCCAATATGCCAAATACCAGTAACAATGAAGGGTCTCATTCTCCTAACTCTGAAAGAGGCTTGAATATGGCACTGTTTTTAAAAAAAAATCTCAGGGCTAGGACGAAGGGGGCCTGCTTGAGGCAATCGACGAATAACAGGATGGTTGTGATTTGTGAAGAAAGGCCCAAAGCAAGAGAAACTGAGAACTGGTTTTCCGTGGGAAACTTAACATGGGCAGGGAGTGGGGGATGGAAGGAGAAGAGGGGGGAGAGAGAGGGGGAAGGAGGGGAATGCCAGGTGGGGGAGTGACACTAGGACAATGGCAGAGGGAAAGGGCAATCTGGTAGGTGTGGTGCAGAAATGTTTTATGCATGAAACCAACCATTAATTGTTTTATAAAACCAATGCCTAAAATGTGAAAGTTTTTTTTTTGAAAAACAATTGTATAAAAGCCATCAAGGAAAAAAATTTTTTCTATTTTGCACAGTAAATAAGAAACATCACTTATATATAAATTGTGGAACTAATAGGCAATAGAGTAATTGATCATTATAGTCTCATGAGGTAGACAAAGAAATCCTAGTATTATCCAAATTTCATAAGAAAAGGATCAGAGAAAAAGGTGTGTTTTTGCAGGAAATATTTCCGATGAGTCAGTGTCTTTGACAGAGTGCTGACTCCCCATTTTCAAAGAGAGAGACACCTTTTCTATTGAAGACCTCTGTAGAAACACCAACTCAAGGGGCTGGGCAGACAGTACAGGACTGAGACACTTACTCTGCACATATGTATCCCAGGTTCAATACCCAGCACCCAATTTGGTCCCTCAAGCCCCACCAGCTGTAATCCCTAGGCAAAAAGCAGGAGTAAGTCCTGAACACTGCCAAGTGTGGTCCAAAATTTTAAAAAAAAAAAAAACATTAAAACCTATTTAGCCCACTCCATAGAAGCTTGAAGCTGCTCCAAAGGTTAAGATCCTTTGTACTCAAGAAGGCCGTGATGTGACTGAATATATGCAAACGTTTACCAAGGTGAGAGTGCAATGCACTCTATTTCTTACATAATTTTTGTCAATAATTCAATACAGAAAGACATTATGAAGTAAGTTACAAAATTCATTTTTTGGCCCACATTCAGAAGTGCTCATGAAACCAGAGCGATAGTACAGCGGGGAGGACCCTTGCCTTGAATACAGTCAAGCCAGGTTCAATCTCCAGCATCCCATATGGTCCCCTGAGCCCCACCAGGAGAAATTCTTGAAGGCAGAGCCAGAAGCAACCCCTGAGCATCGCCAGGTATGACCCCAAAACAAAAGCGTGTTCAGAGGCTGCTCCCAACTCTGTGCTCAAGGATCACTTCCAGCAGGGCGGGCAGGGAAGAGAACCATGTGCCATCAGGTATAGAACCTGAACTCCCAGCATGCAAAGCATGAACTCCAACAGTGGAACCATCTCTCAGTGGAACCATCTCTCGGGCCCCAACTGCTTTTTCATTAGCCGCAGCAGGTGGGGTGGAGGGGATGGGCACCTGAGTCCTGGAAACAAGCCCCAGTGACTGCTGCCAGACTGCCTCGACGCTCAGTCCATGCCCTGTAACAGGTAACAGTCCTTCCAATAACACCACTGGGCATTTTCCCCGGAGCTCCTGGTTTGATGAGGCAGAGTCTGATGTCTGAGAGCTGGTGCTCCTTCCAACCAGGAAAGGTCACCCAGCAGTGTACTTGCTGTACTAGCAGTGTACGGCTTCAGAGAAGCAGACCGACCCTCCAGGGTAAGGGAAATAACACTTCTCCTCTCATGCCACAGCATGAACCCAAGTACAACACAGGTCCCTAAAAGCTACTATACGTTGCCGGTAAATTTTGATTTCTAACTTCCAGGGGTTTTGCCCAATCCCACACTACATTAAAAAACCAAAAGTGTTAAAATGGCCCTGCCAAAACTCTAGTACATTGATATGAAACTCACATTTAAATTGCTGTGCTTAAACAGAATGAAAGTTGTCATCAAAACACTTTGTAAAACTATAGTTCTGTCCAGTTATAAGGAATGCTAAAATCCTGGCTCTGGATTTATATTGTTTGCCTTCTGCAAACGCTATACTGGATTTATACTGTCTGCCTTCTGCAAATGCTATATGGATAAAAGAATGAATTGATGATGCTAATATTAAACAGCAATAAGAATAGTTAAAATCATCCAAACAATCTAAGATACACTCTCATCCCAAAAAAAGTAACACCTCAACAATGTTTTAAGCATTCTTCTCTACATCAGCATATAGCAGAAATATCCGTTCTTGGGCCGAAGAGATAGTGTGGCAGGTAGGATGCCAGCTGGGTTTGATCCCTGGTACCATATATGGTCCCCCGAGCATCACTAGGAGTGGTCTCTGAGCTTAGAGCCAGAAGAAAGCCCTTAGCACCATAGAGAGTGCCCCCCCCACACACACACAAAAAGAGAAATATCCTTTCAGAGTATTCTTCCATTAACACACCTTTGCAATAGAGGACTCCAAAACAACATACATTGAGATTCCAAGACCCTCGTTGGTCACTAAAAAGTAAAATCCAAGAGTAAATAGCTCACAGACTACACTCTCCACTGCACTACTGCAGATCAGTCCCCAAGATGCTAATCATCTACCCCAACCCACCAAACTGACCTGAATTATATATCTGACAATGTTAGCATTCCACTGGCCTAACTGTAGAAAATAATCATGAAATGTGTACTTACAGCATAAGCACCTATCAAAAATGCTGCATTTGCGCGTTTCCGTTGATCAAAACAGGTGTAGTGCACTATTTTCTTTCTTGATAAGCTGTATGACTAGACAGAGGGAAGAAAAAAAAGTTAGTGAACTACAGAGATGAAGGTGAGCGCTATCTCGAGTTTCAAAGATCTGTGTTCATCAGCTTGAACTTTGTCATTTGGACAGGAGCATTTAGGAGGACGGGATGTAACTGGCTATGACACTTTTCAGCCTGCTTATGACTTGAGATTAACAATCTATTTGTGAATCATCTGAAATACTAAAAAAAGGAAGAAAAGGAATTGACAATATAAAAGAATGTTTTTCTCCAAGGAAGCCGGTTGATACAAATGGGAAATAATTACGGAAATCTTTATTAGAAGGTGCTATTTTTCAAGGTTTACTCTTGATCTTTTTTTGGTTTTAAGCCACACCCAGTGGCTCTCAGGGTTTACTCCTGGCTCTGTGGTCAGGGATCACTCCTGGTGGTGCTGGCGGGGGCTGGGGGGGGGGGGGGGGGGACCATATGGGTCACCAGGGAGTGAAACCAGGTTGGCCTCATGCAAGGCAAATTTTCTACTCATCCCAGCCCTTCTTGATCTTATCTGTAAAGTCTATTAACCCTTTTCATACCCACATACCATTCTCACTCCCAAACATTTATTTAAACTTTCCGTATAATACAGTGTATTTTTTAACACATCAACCATTTTCCTCTCCTCTCTAAAAATTTTAGATGCCTACACGCTTTTTGAAATATGGATCCAAGAGTGCTCAGGGACCACCTGGGCTATACCTGCTAGCACTAAGGGGGTCGTGCAGTGTTGGGATCAAACTCAGGGCCTCGCTCATGCTATGCATGGCTCTACCACCTGGCCTCCCCCCCAGTCTTTTAAATGTCTGTATTAATGAGAACACAACATTGTTTTCTTCTACAGTATTCTGTCAGTCCCTTTTTAATTATCTGAGAATAAATCATTAATGGAAAAAGATGAACTAGCAAAAAGATTAAATCAGCAAACATCTAGACACAAGTGATCTATTAAAATTAATAGGCTCAAAGAGTTATTAAGCACCTGCTATTTACCATGCAATAAGCTGCATGCTCAATTATTCAAATACATCTAAAATAAGCAACGTGGTGTTGCTTGCATAGTCAATACAAAAAAAAAAACAAAAAGATTTCTTAAAATTATAACTGAATTATTTAAAAATATAAAAAAAGACATACAATTCAATAAGATAAAGTCTGCTCAATTTCGTATTTCAAAACAGAGTAATCTTATTTTAAAACAGTCAATGGTTTTCAAAACACAGACATAAGTACATTTCAGTATTTACCTATAAATTCACACTGACTATAAAAGCAGCTTTGTCTTCCGATTACAATGACTGCAGCTACATGGGCTCGTTGATTTAGAGTCACCGTCAGGATGCAAACTGACCTTAGCAATTATTTTCTTTATCTCTACAAGGAATCAAAATCCTTCCAACTCCTAAGCCTATCCTCTGAGACTGCAATCTTCTGCTTTAACGTGGGGACACAGCATGGCTGACTCTGGCGTCCCTCTCCACCATGAGGCATCTTTGATAATAGAGTGATGGTATGAAATGGTAGTGCTCTTTTTCATTTAAATTTGAAAAATATCAGCCTTAAATAGGGGTGCTTACTATATACTCATTATTTCCTGACAGGGGTACCTAATAACCTATGAAATGAAGGGAGGAGGAGAGTACATCATTTTATTCGGCTCACTCATCAAGCGAATAAATGTCTCCTTGCTTTCCCAATTTGAAATCAATGCTTGCTAGATATCTCCTTTTATATTTTGTTTCTCATTTTATAACTTATTTGTTTGATTTTTGCCACCACAGCAATCCATTTAAGAGGTGTCTAATTTACTGAAAAAAGATTCAAGGCTCTTAAGAACTAGGCATCTTGGGGCCAGAGAAATAGTACAGTGGGTAGGGCACTCGCCTTGCACATGGCTTACCTAAGTTTGATAACCTGACATCCCATATAGTCGCCCTGAGTGATTACTGAGTGCGAATTCAGGAATAACCCCTGAATACCACTAGTTGTGACCCAGAAACCAATACATACATACATACATACATACATACATACAAACAGTATCTCCTATGCTCTCTGAACCTCAAAAACCTCAAGACTGACATGGCTAGATCCCCCAGAACCCAAGTTAGCACATTCTATGTAATCTTTAGAAAAAGTTTTCAAACTCTTAGCATTTACCTTGCTTAGTTTTGGAATACAAGCATTTTTCTCAGTTAAATCCCAAAAAGTCAAGAAATGATCATTTGGAGGCAAATAGGTCCAGATCAAATCACAGAGATCTGAGTCCTGAAGAATCCAAACTAACTCAAAGTGAATTATAACAAAATAACATCCACTAAAGACTGTCAATAGTTTCCCTGCTAGCTATGGCCATTCTCCTCTAAGGCATCACCTGCTCAGATAGTCTGATGAACAGCAATGCCCACCAGCAGATACATTTTGGCACTAGAATGAAAAACTCAGCAATTTTTAAAAAAGTATTGCTAACTGTATAATTATAAATATACAAAACTAAGTGAAAATAGATAATTTTAATATACATAAGTTTCGTCTCCCTTCTAGTAGGAAACACATTCCTCTCTTAAAAAAAAAAAGAAGAAGAATATGTTATTTGTCAAAGCACTCTTAGAAGAAACAAAATGTAAAGATTTGTCTCTCCCCTTTTTCTGGTGGGAGGGAGCAGGGCAGTGTCACACCCACTGGTGCTCAGGGTATATTCCAGGCTCCAAGCTCAGGGATCACTCCTGGCAAGCTGGGGAGACCATATGGGATGCTGGGGGTTGAACCCAACTTGGCCACCTGGGAGGCAAGGAGTGTTGTTTTTTGTTTTGTTTTGTTTTGTTTTGTTTGCTTTTTGCGTCACACCGGCATTGCACAGGGGTTACTTCTGGCTCACGCACCCAGGAATTACTCCTAGCAGTGCTCGGGAAACCATATGGGATGCTGGGAATCGAACCCGGGTTGGACGTGTGCAAGGCAAATGCACTACCCGCTGTGCTATTGTTCTAACCCCAAGGCAAGTAAGTGTGTTACCTGCTATACTATCATCACTCCAGCCCCAAGATTTGTTGTCCCATCTAGAACTTGACCATTCAGGGGCAAAAGGGAACAATCAGAAGACATTCCACAGAAATGTCAGGATTATCTCAAATATGAGTCCTGTGCATACTATTTCAAATTCTGCCCTGGACCAGGGGAACTTCATGTCTCCAAGTCAGGTAGCACTCTCCTGCTTACTCCAGCCTGGCTCCTCCACGGTCTTTCATGCTGGCCAGGCCCTTTGTGAACACTTGAGAAGCGTCCCCATCAGCTCTGGCTTTCCTTAAGTGATCTGCACTCCTACTGATTGTTTTGCTTTGCAAGAGAAGCACAGAGATTACACAACAGCTCTGTATAGTAGCCAAGGTAGAAACTGGTAAAACACTAAATACAGTCTCAAATATAAAAGGAGGAGTTCGCAGAAAGAACACAAAAACCTCTGCATTATTTTTGCCTACTGGGAGCCGGTGTGGGGAGGGGAGGAGGGGTGTGGACAGCTTCAGTAAAACCTCCCAAGCAGTACTCAGAGGTCCAGGGGCCATTCTGGAAGTACTGAGCCCAGTTCAGTGTGCCTCATGATTCAGTGCTCAGGCCCAGCAGTGCAGAGCTGCTCAAACTGAGAGGTGCTCAGGGGGACGAGAGCCACAGGCGGCAGTGATAGGGAGCCAGGCAGTGCTGGTGACTGACCTCAGGGCCTTCTGAACGAGCTTCAGCCCTTCAAGCTATCCGTCCCTCCCATTTGCATGGTCTGAGCAAGGCTGTTCTGAACATGATCCATCATAATTATAACCCACCTTCTCCCTCCCTCTCTCTCTCTCACTCTTCCCCTTCCTCCCTCCCTCTCCCTCTTTCCTCTCTGTCTCTTTCCCTCTCTCTCTCTCTCTCTCTCTCTCCATATATATATAATTTCACTCTCTCTCATATATATATAATATATATGCATACATATCACGATCACGACCGTCCTGTTGTTTGTCGATTGCCTCGAGCAGGCCCCAGTAACGTCTCCTTCATCCTAGCCCTGAGATTTTTTAAAAGGTGCCATATTCAAGGCTCTTTCAGGGTTAGGAGAATGAGACCCATCATTGTTACTGGTATTTGGCATATTGGGTACGCCACGGGGAGTTTGCCAGACTCTGCCGTGTGGGATGCATACATATATCTATGTATACATATATGCATACATATATATGTATGTATATAGAGAGATCTGTACTGCAGAGTCTGGCAAGCTACCCAGGGCGTGCCCCATATGCCAAAAACAGTAACAATAACGGGTCTCATTCCCCTGACCCTGGAAGAGTCTCCAATACGGCAGCAGCGTTAGGAAAGATGAGTAAGGAGAGGCTGCTAAAATCTCAGGGCTGGGACGAATGGAGACATTACTGGCGCCCGCTCAAGCAAATCAATGAACAACAGAATGACAGTGATACAGTGATAGAGAGAGAGAGTTTTGGGGCCACGCCTTCCAGTGCTCAGGGCTTACTCCTGGCTCTGTGCACAGAGATCACTACTGACAACCTCAACTCAAGGGACCACACGGGGTGCCAGGGATCAAACTTGAGTCAGCTGCATGCAAAGCAAATGCTCTGCGTCCTCTGGTCCCTTCAACATATTTTAAGCTTCCATCTGGAACTGAAATTGTCTTCTGAGTTTTATGGTATTTTTTTTCCTTTAAATAGGAACCACACCTTCAAGGGTGGGAGGGCATGGTCATATTGTGACAATTTTGATCTCGGATCCCGTAATGAAGTCCCAAAGGCCACACTTGGTGTTGCTGGGGCCAGCAGGTATTGAGTGCCAACCAAAAACTCAAGAGCCTCCCACATGCCCAGCTCCCCCAGTCTGCCTTTGGAACTTCTTGACCTAAGGCAAAAAAGCAAGGCCTTTACAGTAATAAGAGCTAACATTCATTGGTTACTTGCTACCTGAATAATTTCCCAAAGAGCTACAGTGCCAAAG